CCCCTAAAGGGGTGTAGGGTCTGGCTCTTTTTTTCAGAATGTTCAAAATAATATCTACAGGGTGGCCAATAAATATTGAAACGCGTTTGAAACGTTATAACTTTCTCAAAAAGTCAACCAAACACCACCAAACTTGGAACAAATTTTTATTCATACAATATAGAAACAAAATTCAAGAATAGTTTTCAAAACGTCCTCCTTTAGCTTTGATAACGGCCTTCAGTCTCTTTGGATACGCATCGATCACGGCACGAAGGTAGTCGTCGTCGATTTCGTCTCATTTCTTGATGAGCGCGGTCTACAGAGCTTTGATACTTGGGTAGTTCTTAGAAGAGACCTTCTCGGTCAGATATATCCACACGGCATAGTCCATCGGGTTGAGGTCGGGCGAGGAAGCAGGCCAATCAGCAGCCGAGATGAACGCGGAAAATTGGCGCGATACCACTCTTGAGTCACTTTGGCACGATGAGCGGGGGCGCCGTCTTGCTGGAAGGTCCATGGTCGGTTTCCGTAGTGAGAATTGGCTCAGGGCAACACCCTCAACTTTAAAATCTTCTCCCTGTAGTATACTTGGTTCACTTTGACTCCAGGATCCACAAAAAAATCAGCGGAGTTTTGCCGTCAGCGGTAATTCCGGCAAAAAAACCATCACGGAAGCCGGATGCGAAGTTTTTATTCAGAATTTTTTTCCTTTTTCACAGGCACTCTGATAGTCAGTAGCGATGATCCGATGATTTTGGCCGTTCTTGTTCGGCTCCACAGTGAAGATTTTCTCGTCGGTAAATAGCGTCGTCAGATGCGAGCCATCTTTCGTGCCAGCGAGCAGCTTTCGGGCCTTTTCCATCCGCAATGTCTTGTTTTTTTGATTGAGGAAGGCTCCTTTCTGCATACGGTAGGGAATCATCTTCAGCTTGTCCTTGACAATAGTTCTCATCGATCCTTGACTCATTTCGTATTTTTTTGCCATCTTTCTCACGCTTCTTTCCGGAGTGCGTCTGATTTTCTCTCGAACGGCTTTGACTGCTTCTGGAGTCGTGACGTTGATTGGACGTCACCTATTTGCATGTCATCTGAAGTACCGAGACGCCGATAGCGTTGTGCAGTTCGAAAAACGAGAACACGAGACACTTTCAGCTTTTTAACGATCTCTGAATTTGTCATTCAGCTTTTGACGCAATCAATGATTGCGGTAGGGTACGGAGATGGGGCCACCATTACCTGAATACTGAAAAGTATGAGCTGTAACTTCAAACACATGATAAGTGAGCATGAATGAACGAAATAAACAAAAAAATTCAATAGCCAACCCTTTGTGCAAAAAGCAGCGATCAAACAAAAAACGGTTTCAATATTTATTGGCCACCCTGTAGTTTCAGATTTGGAAAAAGATAGTTTTGATCTAAAATTTAGAGGATTCATGTACCTATGACTGGTTATTGTTCCCAGTTCGTTTATAAATTTGACCCTGTCCTTATTTGCTAATGATTCAAATCAAACGAATTAAGATGGTGGACTCCTTGGTGACGCCGCCGTCGGCCTCCGGCGTCGGCATCAACACGATGATCGGCGCCGCCTCGACGACTTCTGAAGCCGACGAAATGGCCTACTTCGACCCGAAACTCATGCACGCAGCCACCAAAGAGTCCGTTTTTTCAGAGTGTCTACCTAGAAAGAAATTTATTTGGATTATTTTTACGCTCCCAAGTTTGGTGACAGTTTCTTGTGAAGCTGGGTGACTAGCCGAGCTCATTTATGTATAAGAAAGATCATTTTTCTTGGCGGTTTGGTATTTTTTTCAAATGTTGCTTGAAGCCTAAGCCTCAGCCTTTCATGTGTCAGAAAAACATTTCGAAAATTGTAAACTACCAAGTTTTCGAGAAAGGATACCTCGATCTCGAAAAAAACTACCAAAATCGCTTAAAATGGGCCATTTTGAGACTTCTAACCCCCTTTATCGAAAGCCAGGAGGTTTTAGTGAGCTTAGGGATCTTTAAAATATGGTAAGCCTTCTTTTTATCAACAAGTTATCAATGGGGCATAGTTGTCACTCGAAATCGCGGCTCTTTTTTCCCAAACAAAAGTTTTCAGGAGTATCCTACGCTCCAGGCAACAACAGCCACAAGACGTCATGTTGTTCGTGATCGGAGGCGGAAATTATGTCGAATACCAAAATTTGGTTGATTATGGTGGGTATTGGAAGAAAATTTTGAAGAAAAAACTTTTTTTTAATGTGGAAGTGTATCACGAGAAGTAAAACCTTCGAAAATATTTTTTTCGAAAAAAATTGAGTTTGAAAAAAATCTTGAGAAACAATTAGCTGAAGTTATAAAAATGAATAGGAAATCTAGGATTTCCAAAAAAATTTTTGGGTGAAAAGTTAAGAAAAACGTAAAACAAATACCTTTTTTTCATCAAATTTTATCATTACCAGACTTGAAAAAAAGTGGGATTTTTGCCCATTTGATGACGATTTTTTTCCAGGTAAACGGAAAAAAATCTTAAACGAGTGACCTATGGGTGCACGGAACTCGTCAACCCGAATCAATTCTGCGATCAGGTATTTTTCAAGTTATCTCGAAAAAATTTTCCGGGAAGGGTACTGTCTCTTCGCAAAGTCAACTGAAAATAGGGCGAAATATTTTTCAAAAAAATGAAAAATGGGGAAATAATTTTTGAAAAATTTTTAGGTTATATATCTTGTAAAAAGGTGAATTTATACTACTTATTAAATAAATTGACCCCCAATTTTTTTCGTAGGTACTGTGAAAAATCGAAAAAGATGGAACCTATAAATTTCATCATTATCGAACTTTACAAGGAAAAAAAGTTTTTTTCATAAATTTCAATTTCGAAAGTTGAAAATTGAACTTTTTCTACTACAAAGGGAATTTTTCTGTGCCTCAAAAAAAGTTGAAATTAGTCATTTTTTTGAAATTCTAAGGGATTTTTTGGACTACTCTAGGTTTTTAAAAAGAGTGATTTTTGACTGTTTTTCCAAAAAGGTTTCTTGAAATTGTGACCAGGCTTTGAATATAACTACTTTTTAGGTTTATTTAAATCAAACTTTTACAAAAAAATTTTTTTGAGATTTGAATATTTTTCTCGAAGAAAGTCTTACTATGAAATATGAGCTGAGATTCACCGAATTTTTGAATTTAGTTCAACTTACTGCAACTCGAGAAACGTAAAATATCCGAATTTCGAATTTAGTTCAACTTACTGCAACTCGAGAAACGTAAAATATCCGAATTTCGAATTTAGTTCAACTTACTGCAACTCGAGAAACGTAAAATATCGTGTAATAAAGTCTTTTTCGTTCATCATCCATACGAATGTTGATAATGTCGGTTCGGTCACTTTTTTTAAAAATAAGAAGATTTATCCTTGTTCTAAATGTTTTTGAGTATCCAAAATTTGTAGATTTCTGGATTTTTGGTTAGTTTGAAAGTTTCGAAAAAAATCGAATAAAAAAATGGAGATTTTTTTGTTTTTTTCTTCGATAAAATCCAGGAAAAAAACTTCTTAATTGAAATGGAAATATGAGTGCAAAATAGCGCTTTCCAAGATTTGTGAGCCTTTTTTGATGAAAATAGAAAAAAATTGGAAGAAAAGGTGAATTCTTGTAAATATAATGACCGGAATTTTTGAAAGGTTATTTTATACTTCTTATTAAATATATTGCACCTTAATTTTTCTTAGGTACTGTATAAATCGAAAAGAAAAATGATGGAACCTATAAATTTCATCATTATCGAACTTTACAAGGAAAAAAGTTTTTTTTCATAAATTTCAATTTCGAAAGTTGAAAATTGAACTTTTCTACTACAAGGGAATTTTCTGTGCCTCAAAAAAGTTGAAATTAGTCATTTTTTGAAATTCTAAGGGATTTTTTTGGACTACTCTAGGTTTTAAAAGAGTGATTTTGACTGTTTTCCAAAAGGTTTCTTGAAATTGTGACCAGGCTTTGAATATAACTACTTTTAGGTTTATTTAAATCAAACTTTTACAAAAAATTTTTGAGATTTGAATATTTTCTCGAAGAAAGTCTTACTATGAAATATGAGCTGAGATTCACCGAATTTTGAATTTAGTTCAACTTACTGCAACTCGAGAAACGTAAAATATCCGAATTTCGAATTTAGTTCAACTTACTGCAACTCGAGAAACGTAAAATATCCGAATTTCGAATTTAGTTCAACTTACTGCAACTCGAGAAACGTAAAATATCGTGTAATAAAGTCTTTTCGTTCATCATCCATACGAATGTTGATAATGTCGGTTCGGTCACTTTTTAAAAAAATAAGAAGATTTATCCTTGTTCTAAATGTTTTGAGTATCCAAAAATTTGTAGATTTCTGGATTTTTGGTTAGTTTGAAAGTTTCGAAAAAAATCGAATAAAAAAATGGAGATTTTTTTGTTTTTTTCTTCGATAAAATCCAGGAAAAAAACTTCTTAATTGAAATGGAAATATGAGTGCAAAATAGCGCTTTCCAAGATTTGTGAGCCTTTTTTTGATGAAAAATAGAAAAAAATTGGAAGAAAAGGTGAATTCTTGTAAAATATAATGACCGGAATTTTTTTGAAAGGTTATTTTATACTTCTTATTAAATATATTGCACCTTAATTTTTTTCTTAGGTACTGTATAAATCGAAAAGAAAAAAATGATGGAACCTATAAATTTCATCATTATCGAACTTTACAAGGAAAAAAAGTTTTTCATAAATTTCAATTTCGAAAGTTGAAAAATTGAACTTTTTCTACTACAAGGGAATTTTTCTGTGCCTCAAAAAAAGTTGAAATTAGTCATTTTTTTGAAATTCTAAGGGATTTTTTTGGACTACTCTAGGTTTTTAAAAGAGTGATTTTTGACTGTTTTTCCAAAAAGGTTTCTTGAAATTGTGACCAGGCTTTGAATATAACTACTTTTTAGGTTTATTTAAATCAAACTTTTACAAAAAAATTTTTTTGAGATTTGAATATTTTTCTCGAAGAAAGTCTTACTATGAAATATGAGCTGAGATTCACCGAATTTTTGAATTTAGTTCAACTTACTGCAACTCGAGAAACGTAAAATATCCGAATTTCGAATTTAGTTCAACTTACTGCAACTCGAGAAACGTAAAATATCCGAATTTCGAATTTAGTTCAACTTACTGCAACTCGAGAAACGTAAAAATATCGTGTAATAAAGTCTTTTCGTTCATCATCCATACGAATGTTGATAATGTCGGTTCGGTCACTTTTTTAAAAAAATAAGAAGATTTATCCTTGTTCTAAATGTTTTGAGTATCCAAAATTTGTAGATTTCTGGATTTTTGGTTAGTTTGAAAGTTTCGAAAAAAATCGAATAAAAAAATGGAGATTTTTTTGTTTTTTTCTTCGATAAAATCCAGGAAAAAAACTTCTTAATTGAAATGGAAATATGAGTGCAAAATAGCGCTTTCCAAGATTTGTGAGCCTTTTTTTGATGAAAAATAGAAAAAAATTGGAAGAAAAAGGTGAATTCTTGTAAATATAATGACCGGAATTTTTTTGAAAGGTTATTTTTATACTACTTATTGAATAAATTGACCCCTCAATTTGTTCTTAGGTACTGTGAAAATCGAAAAATGATGGAACCTATTAATTTCATCATTATCTAACTTTACAAGGAAAAAAGTTTTTTTTCATAAATTTCAATTTCGAAAGTTGAAAATTGAACTTTTTTTTTAAATTTTTCCTTGTTCTAAATGTTTTGAGTATCCCAAAATTTGTAGATTTCGCGATTTTTGGTTGGTTTGAAAGGTTGGAAAAATCGAATATAGGCGGCTGAAAAGTGGAGATATATTTTTTTTCTTCGATATAATCCAGGAAAAAATTCTTAACTGAAATGGAAATATGTCAAGTGCAAAATAGTGCTTTGTAAGATTTGTGAGCCTTTTTTTGATGAAAATAGAAAAAAATTGGAAAAAAATTGAATACCAGAAATCTCGAAAAAAACTGACTTGAAAAATTCGTCATATAAATAAGAAATAGGCACTTTGAAAAACATTAGAACCTAAATAATGTCTAAAAATCCGAAAACTTGAAAAAAATAGGCATCATAAAAAAAGCGACCGACTTTTTCCAGCATGCCTAATTTCAGTTGTATACATTAAAGTTTCAAATTTTTCTTATTTTTTTCAAAAATTAACAGTACTTCCAAGACCATTTTTTTAGACCTTTATTGTCCCTTTCAGTTCATTTTTAGGCCTATAAAATATTCTGATTTATTTCGAAAGTCTCTCCCTTCCACCCTCACACGGCTTCCCCCAAGAAAAAAAAACAAAGCTTGAGAAAATGGAACGGAATTGGCCGCTAAGAATAAGTTGTGAAGCACATTTCCTCGCTCGTTTTCTGTTCGCTGTTTTTTTTTTCCGCCGCCGGGTTTTTTTCTGGCTTTTTCTGGCCAATCCGGATGAGCCGCGCTGGCCATTTGCATACCCGGCGGAGGGTCTTGAGAATCTGTTTTTTCTCGGTTTTTATATACTTTTCCGAAGGAATGGCCGCGAAATTCAAGTTCAAGTTGTGAATGTGCTCTCCGTGGATAATTTTTTTTGTTATATTTCTATAATTTTGGATTGAAAAAAAAAGTTAGAAGGTGGTTTATAAAGGTCTTAAGTCATGCTATAAAAAATAGCCGCGGAAAAAAAGCCCAAGGTCGGATTTTGCGCTCTATGGATAACTTTTCGTGAAGACGGGTAGTTACTCTACAATTGTGTAGAAAAAAGAAGGAGAAATCAATTTTTGATGTTTTGATTTGAAAAAAAAACTACTCAGAAGATGGTTTTTGAGATCTAATACTCTGAAAAAAGGGACATGAAACTGTTTGAAAAAATAGCCGCGAAAAAATAACCCAAGATCGGATTTTGCGCTCTATTGATAATTTTTTTTGTGAAGACGAGCTACATGATAATCATGTAGAAAACAGATTTTCGAGCTTTCAAAAAGAAAAATTTTTGAAAGAAATCTTAGGAAATAGTGTAGTTTTGTGTTAGGAAAGCAGAAAAAGCTTTGATTTTCTTTTTGAAATCTCAAAAATTTGATCCTTTTCGAAGGCTTTTTTTAAGTTTATATATCATAAAAATTATTCTTATCGACAGATCATGATATACTTTTTTTGAAATTAAAATTGGATAATTTTTTTGATTTTTTTGAATTTTTCTCACAAATATCCCTTCAAAACCCTCTTTTCAAATGTTTTTCTTCCACCGACTGTCGGAACATACGCTCTAGACTTGTCGGATTCTGGAATTTTTCAAACAAATCTTCATTTGACGGACGTTTCCCGTGCTCTGGGGAACGTTCCTTTCGTTCTTTCTTGTCTGATGTGAGCTCTCAACATCTCTGTAATTTTTGATTCTGATGAATGGGGATGGCCGAATCGAGAAGATTTTTTTTTCCGGAGTTTTGAGGATTCTCTTGAAATTTGTTGGGAGACATAAAGGATAATATTACTTTACTTCATTGAACCTTTTGGGAGGCGTTTT